GAAGACTGGGTTTGGGCACTGCTTGATCAGGGCAACAATGGATTGTATTAAGTCTGATTCGGGCCTAAATTCTACCCTGAGATCCAACAGAATTGTGTGATAAGCCTAACTGCAAGCTGATGAGAAATTTGTGAGTAGAATCATTGTTCACTGGCAGAACACAATGCATTGCATGTTCAAGGCCCGAGTTTCTACCCAAACACCTCAGGGAGTTGGTAATGTGAAATACCTCTTCCTGAGACCCTGGATACCTGTTGCCAGTCAGCCAACAGAGGGTGTGATGGGCTGAGTTAGCATAAGGCAGCTTAAGCTGTTCAGTGTGAGCCCATGCATATAAGAGAAGCATGGCCAGAATTATGCACACAGCTCCAGCAAAGCCTTCAACTGAGTAAGAATGGTAAGATTACCAGACCCAAGCCATTATGCATCCTCATTCATCTCTCTCTTCCAGAAGTTTCATTACAAGAACTGTTTCACTACTGCCAAAATACTACAGTGCTCTGCAATTATCCAAGACTTTCATTTCATACCTCACTATAAATAGTGTTTCATTAGATTCAAGTTTATCCTAAGCAAGTTCTGTACTCCAGAGGGATGAGGATAGCAAAAATGTTTTGAAGGAAAGAAAGATTGTGTATACGGCATAGAACTTGTTCCCTGTGCTAGTCTAATTGTTAACTCTGTTGGCATACATTTGGAGCTCAGCGGTTAAGGTGGAGGCCAGCTGCATCTTGAAAGTGCCAAGTTGGAACGTTTCCCCAAATTTAGGCTGCAATCCTATGCACACTTGCTTGGGAATGAGTCCCATTCAAGTCACTGGGACATGCATAGGACTGCACTATTAGAAGATATGTTAAGCTAGAACTGAATGCGCAGCAGAATAAACTTTTGTGCAACAGTACGATTAGAAAGACCTCTGTTGAAGAAGAAACGGATGCACAGACACAGGTTCAGTTCTAGATTTACATTAATCTGGCACCTCCAATCTACTTGCATTTGAATATTTGCCAGGGAACATGGGAACCTTCGTTCATTTAGTTTTTCCTTAAAACACATGGGAGCAAACTGTGGCCCACATTGGTCCCCTGGAGACCTTCAGTGCAGCTGGAGCCCAAGCCACTCCCCACATGCAAATTGCCATGCATATTCTGCATGTAAATTGCATTTCTCCCCCTCTACTGCCTGTCAAACAATATACTTTAGCTGTTTGGCAGGATGGGGAATCATGATTGTGGAGAAGGTGGAGTACATGGTCATTCCCACGTGCTGTCCTCTCCATGTAAATTGCACCATGTGAATTCCACCTCAAGATCATCCTGAAACTCCTTATCTGGATAATATTGATGTACAAGGCAGATCACCTGTGTTGTGATTTATGTTGGCTGTAAACGAGTCAGAGAACCTGCACAGGAATTATGCAACAAATGATACATATTCATACTCTGGAATTTAACTGATGCTGTACTCTGAGGGGGTAGACAAGAGGACCTGGCTTCTTTATGCAGAATCAGGGAGCAGCTAATTCAGAACTGTCAGGAGTTCAGCTTTATTTATTTTCTGAAAGTACATTTATAGGTCTCATTATCATCATACAATCCATTATTTATAAATTGCATGAAAGACCTAGAAATTGTACAAGTTAAAAAGAAATAAGGAACCTTCCCCTGAAAAGCAGTTGATGCCAGAGAAAGAGCCTGCTGCTGTTGCTTCCAAGGCCTAAAGGACAACATTTCCTCTTTACATATCCCTCCCCTGTGATCTCCAATCACTATTTTATCCCAGCACCCTACACTACTCTCCTTTCCGGTAAAAATCCTTCGACCCTTGCAACATTTGCCACAGGAATAAATCTTGCAAAGTAGATACATGACAATGTATTCAATTTGCATAATTTATCATAATCACAGCATCTTGCCTGGATCCATCAATCTATTCTGGATACAGGAGGTCAAATGCATACAGCGAACAACTCTGCCTAGGAAAGCGGAGGGGGGAGGCAGCACCAAAAGGGGAAAAAAGAAAGAGAGAGAGCAGCTTCGTCTTAATGATAATTTGGGCAGTTTATTTTGAAAAGACTGAAGGCAGGTTTTTTTAATTGAAAAAAGGGCCCAACAGGTTTCAAAATAAATTCTTTATCAGGAAGTGCTTTGTGGTTTTCCCCTTCTTTTTCATGAGACTTTCTCTCATAGACTCTTCTGTGTAGGTGTGCCTTGCAAAAAGAACCCTGTCCAGAAGAGTTTTCTCATTCATTTCAAAGAAAGGAGTTGATCTGTATGTTTATTCATTTATCTAGGGGGACCAGCTCTTTCCAGTGAAATGAAAATGGGACAGCTTGTGAGACAAGGCAGATCGCTTCTGAGCACTCACAAAGGTCAGGATCAAGGCATTTGAATTTTCTGACTACTGATTTGGGGTTTTGAGTTCAGACCTTTAGATGCAGCCGAGATTGTGCTGATGATGTATCCACCTATATACTTAGGTGTTTCTTTCTCAGTACTTCATAAGGAACTTGCTATTCCAAGTTAAGGTAGCTGAAACCCTTGACAGAAGAAAACCAGTGGTAATGAAAGCGTAGCACCGCCAAAATCATAGTGGCAGAAACACATTGATTGATCAGCCGCTGTGTTTCACATTCCAGTTTCAAAAGTCAAAGTGAATGTTAGACAAACATCTGTCAGGCACAGTTTAAATACAGTTGGGCTTGCTTTGGGGTAAATTGCATGCCACACACAAAGGCATATAATCGAGTCCCCAATTTTATTTTATTTTTCAAAATGAAAAGCCCCCTCAGGAGGCTGCAATTTAGAGCAAAGAAGTGGTGATGGAGTAGGAGGAGAGTACTTAGCTTTTTCTCTACTGGCCAGATATATACAGTGGTACCTTGGGTTACATACGCTTCAGGTTATAGACTCCGCTAACCCAGAAATAGGACCTTGGGTTAAGAACTTTGCTTCAGGATGAGAACAGAAATCGTGCTCCTGCGGCGCAGCAGCAGCGGGAGGACCCATTAGCAAAAGTGGTGCTTCAGGTTAAGAACAGTTTCAGGTTAAGAACGGACCTCCGGAACGAATTAAGTACTTAACCCAAGGTACCACTGTAGTGTTATAGGTTTGAGGGGGGATAGGCTCTCCTAAAATATCAGAATTCTGTAAAAGGTTAGAATTTAAGCAAACCCCTAAATTTCAGAACCTAGTGGGGACTGGAGTTTAAACCAATTTTACCATGTCTAATAATTTTATCTGGTAGAAGAACCATCAAGAGATAATCACGGGAATGGCCGAGTCATTAACCCATTTAAGAAGGTCATTAACGGAGACTCTCTGGGCCAGAGAGAAAATGGGGAAAGCCCCTCCCTAAGGTGAAAGATAGCAGAGACTAAAGGTCAGAGTTTAAGGAGGGAGGGCCAGAATTGCAGAGGTGATGAGATAAGCAAACAGGAAAAAAGTGCCAGTTTTGCAAGCCGGAGACGATGGGGGCAGAGTACGAGGCGGGCAGTCTCTTTTATACTGCAGAGAGGGTCAGACACGGTATTTGGGATCTCTTGGAATTGGAAGCTGTAGCAATGAGAGGAACAGGACCCTCTTGGGATGTAAATGCTTTGCACTCTCTCCACGCAGACGCAAGTTGTACATATGTGTAAATAAACCATATATCCTAAAGACACCACAGATTCCGCTGTGGTTTCCAAAAGGAAACACAGATCCTGGTAAGTGCGCCTGGTACCCCTGGAATCTCTCGCTGCTTGGAGATTGAGGGGGTGTGTAACAATATTTTCATGTGAAGCAGACCTGCCCACTGACTATTACAAAACCACTTCTGGCCCCAGCATTCTGCGCGTGTATGAAATCATCAATTTTTTTAGAATAGTTGAAGCTTAAAGCAAGCGAGAGGCATCTCTCTCCTTACCACAACTCTCTACCCCAACAGCTACCTTTCTGCCCATATTTCTCATTATATCTTCACCTGCAACTTTCACTCCTCTAAGCCTACCACCTTTAGCAACCTGAAAGCCTCCTGCTTTCTTAAATGACTATGGCCATTCTCCTCTGATGAACTTAATAGGCTATATCCAAAGCAGCACTACATGAACGTTCTGTCAGCGCAAGAACTGCCTCTCTTCCTTTGCTGCACCCACCCAAATTTATTTTAGGGGTTCCCTCAATCTCAGAGAAGATGGGGGGCACAGGATGTGTGCGGGGAGAGAAGAGAGGAGGAAAATTTGGTTGTGCAAGGAGAAATCCTTGCGCTAATGGAATGAGTACATTGGACACAACATGCTGCCTAGAACTCTCTCCCAGAAGTATGTGGTGCCAATACCTTCTCCCTCCCTCCCTCCCTCCCTCTCCAGTATGCAAGGCCTTTGGCTTAATGCTCATCCCCAACAGAAATGAAGCCTCAGTAGGTGTTAGCTACATTTGCTCACATTATTTCTCTTGACTTTTTCATCTCCTTCCTCTTCTTTAAGTACCCCACACTGTTGGCATTTAGATTGTATGCTCCTTAGAGGAAGGGACATGTCTTCTTTAGCTAATGCTTTTGCCAATGCTACTATGCACTATGTTGTGCATGTTACTGGCGCTGCCTAATTAATAGTACTACTAACAAGACATCTGCACTCATGGGTATCACTGAAGAGGAACCGTGAGGAATGTGAAACTTAAATCCAGATGGGCAAACATGCTCCCCACCCTTGTGGTTTCTACTGATTCCTTATTTCTGTTGACTTTACTAAATGGTTTGAGAACATAGTAGATCCCAGGGGTGGGGGTGGATTTCAATATTCCCTTTCAAGTTTCATTTTTAATATACTTATATGGACAAATCTGTGAAGAAATAAACACAGGAACAGAAACAAGCTCCAGTCACTGGTGGCCCTCCATACACAGTTGTGTGTGGAACAACCTCCCTGTCCACTGACCTGCTGCCTAGATTCAGCCAACCCCAGCTGGAAAGGCCTTGTCCTGGGCTCCGGGAGCTTCTTGACTGGGAGGACAACTCACCTTTCCAATGACATCATTCCGGCTGAGCTTGTCCTTATCCATGACAGTGATGATAATGGTCGTTTCCCTCAGCTTCTCTGTGGGGATGTCGAAGATGAAGGACTCATTAAAGACTGGGTTCAGGCACCGTTTCATCACTACCGTCTTCTTCTTCTCCACCCGTTTGTCTTTGTACATCAGCCACACCTTCACGTAGGGGTCTGGCACAGGAAAAAGAGGATAACATCACTGGGACATAATTTACTGTGGAGGGGAGGTGGAGTTGTAGAGGTACCCAGAAGGAGCACCCCAGTACCCAGGCTCCAGATATTATAAAACTGGGTAGCAAGGGATCATTTGTCTCTTTTTGCCCCAAAGAAGCACCAACATCAGTTTCAAAAATACAGGGTTCAGTTTTATTTACGTGGAAAGGTTCCAGCTGTTCACTTACCTTCCACGTGGGAAATGAGCCACTTATTAAATTACATGCCCCAGTCTAAACTGCCCTGCAGTTAATGTTCTTTCCAAGCCATTTATGCCAGTTTATTCAAGTAATCTACCCAGTTATTTCTGTCAATGGCCACTTACAATCAGCTTTCCAATTCTGATGCAGAATGGGCTATGCTGTCCTCGGTTCTATGTTTGAGGCTTCAAATACCAGCCTGGTGTTTTGCGGTCTCTTGGTAACCAGCAGAGGCATGTCAGTCTGTTACAACCAGCAGCTTTACAGCTGGTGACAACACTTTCTAGTTTGCTTGCTTCTACAACCAGCCCTTCAGGCTGAGAAGTTTATTCTTAACTGGAGTTCCCACCATTCCTTAACCATCACATTCCAGCGCAGCACTGCTTATGGGATGTTTAAAAAACAAGGTCAAACATTCAGGTTTTCTGCTTCCAGAGCTTTCCAGGACAGAAAGCCTGCCTCCTCACTAGTAAATGGAAGTCGTAAACTCCATTCTTCTCAATGCAGAAGAGAGAATAATCAAGCAAGCTTTTGCTGCTCATTAGGTATGGTATAATTAGATACTGTAGTCTTATGTATGAGATATTTAGTCTGCAGAAGTGAGATAAAACCTAAGAGCAATAAAACATAATTCAATCACAGTACCTTGTGATAACATTTTATTACATTGCACAGTGTTACACGTTTGTGGAGGTATCCCACCCTAGAATCTTTATGGTGAAGGGAGAACTAAAAAATGTAAAAGAAATCAAGGAAGTAATATGTTTATATTCCCCCCATTACAAGCTGCAAAAAGGATGAAAGCAGTTTGTCCTTCTGGTACAGACCATAATAGGGGAAATATCAATCCCATTATAGAACAAAGAAACTTCTAGTAGTTTTTAAACCTAATGGTATGTGCACTGCTATTCTGATGTACCTGCTCTTCCAAGGCCACTCCATTGTCTGTCTTTATGCCCACTGTAAGGAAAATATTTGACAGATTTCCAAATAAAACTTCACTTTTTGTACACTGGCCAGGACTTAACAAAGCCATATGCATGCCTGAAGGGGACCTATGTGTACGGCTGGGGGGCAGGGAAGTCAGATGCAAAAGTGGGCAAAGCAATGAATACAATTTTTACTTCTGTACAGTACAGTAGTTTCTGTACTTACTCACACACCCCTATCATCCATCCATCCAAGCAAGAGGCATCATTAAAGATCAAGGACACATCCCAGCCAGGCAAAAACTCTCAAGGAAGGGTACATAGGAGGACTGGTCTGAGGTGAGGTGGTGGCCTCAAGAAAGTCCCAAGGGCCAGACAAGAGGCCTGGAGGGTCACATTCAGGCCCCAGATTACCAACCCACTGCAGTCGTTTGCACTAATATTCCACAATTCTTTTCACTGAGTTCTCAGAGAGCCTCCCACCCGTGCCCTGGCCAGGCCCAGAGCTGCTTAGCTTCAGCAAGGTGGCTCCATCACATGGAGAACACAAAAGATGAAGGACTTTTCTGTTTAACATACAGAAATGAAACTGAAATGTGAGTTGCCGTTTCAGCATCAGACAGAAACTCTCTCTTCAGTAGCATGCTCTGTTATTTCCATTGTAGGATCAAAAGTATACCTCAGTTTAAGAACCACAGCTCTATAAATCTTCTAGCATTGATCAGAAGAAATTCAATGAAGATATTCATCTGCACATTGTCTTGGTTTTTTGTCAAGTAGGCTATGCTAGTTTCTCTACCCAGGAGGTGAGGCAGGTCAGTTTGAAGGCATTTGTTCTTTCACTCTCTGTCAGCTGGGGATGATGGGCATAACACATGACAGCTCCTTTGGGAGGAGACCCCAAGCAAGCAAGCAAACAACACCTGAAAATCAAATAGCTTCTGATTCTCGCCAGGTTTACTTGAAACCAGTAAGTGCACAGAACTCTAAGGAAATGGTCATTGGTGGTTTGCTTTAAGTCTTTTACCTAAAGTGTTGTCCCAGCTACTTTTTGGGATCCCAATATGAATACAAGCATATAATAGTGATTTAGATAAGATACACTCAAGTTTCTTGAGACGTATCCTGGGGCTCCCAAGTTCAATCAAGTATGAGACGATGTGTGCGGAACTAGGTATACACACAATGGAATATTGGATGTGACCTAGCACTATAAAATACTGGTTGCGTTGCCATTTTCGTTGCCAACCTTCAAGTCTGCTTTCTGACTTACATAAGGACTCTTATAAATCCAGATGGTTCCAATTCTTACATAGCAAAATTAGATCTGTTGGTATTGACTTGGAACTCTTGTATAATTCAGGTGAGCAATATATATATCTCAATATTCAAACCAGATTAGGGGTCATTGAAACACAAAGCATTGAATCAGCTGTAAATAAAATTTGCTCCCCCAAGTTCTAGGGATTAAATACAACAGACAACAGGGTCACTTATATTTCAAAATTAATAAATCCAGTCCAACGCAGGGCCTTTATGTTAGCCCGACTGAACGTTTTCCCCTCAGCTTTTGTCAAGGGCAGATATTTAAACATCCTGAGAAACAATAGACATTGCGGATGTAATTTGAATGTGCCAGACTATATGGATGTTTTATGATGGCCCATATTTGTAATGCCTAAGAAAGGTTTGGCAAAGTAAGTAAGAGTTTTAAATCTAAGACTATTTGCCACTGCATAAGAAGAGCTGCTACGGAACCCCATACCTGATGTTCCCCCGATGTCCATGGCTTTAAGATTCCGAGCTTTGATAATGTTCACAACAATGGAGTTAGCTGAAGGGTTGTAGCAGAGCGACAGGAGAAGCTCTCCTCGGCTTCCCTGCAGAGAAGAGTTAGCAGAGATAGAGGAATTATTATGTAACATCACCTCCCCCCCCCCCCGATTCCCCACTGTAAACTTTGAACAGAAATCACCCCAACACTGTTCAGGATCTAGCCAGCTTTCCTCATTCCGCATGGAATTAGGAATCATATATGGCCAGCCCCCAATGCATGCATGCCCTGAGCCAACCTTGGATATTCTGGATCAGCCCCCTGTTTCAAAACAAAGCAAGGATCTTACACTCCCATCACTGCAGGGCTTGAGTTCTTTCCAGAATGTCTGCATCTGGGTCAAGTCCACTTTGTTGAGGGGAATGGACACCTCCCCAATGGGATCGTTACGACTGAACCGATCATAATCCAGAACCTGTAGATAGAGCACCCGCTGAACCACTTTCTCATATGGGAAACCTACCAAAAGCAAAAGGAGCAGATGAAAAGATGAGAGACGACATGCAGGCAACCACAGTAAAGGGAGCCCTAACGTTAAGCCTAGATGCAAGTGAAAACGGTTATTCTGCTGCACTGTCTTTTCCACATTAGATAGCATCTATCACTGTATTCAGGTTGCCAATGGAGAAGTGGTCATGACTGGCCCAGGCCATACATGGGTGAAGGAACCCATGCTTCTGGGCAATCTTGCAGCCTTGAATAACATTTGTAGGTATTCCAGATGAGTGAGTAGTAATCCAACTTCATCAATCAAACCTAATGCTTCAGGGAACTGGCTGGCTGCTATAAGGGCCAGGAAGGAATCCCAGCCTTATCCATCACTGCACTTAGATCACTAGTGAAGGCTTTTGGCCTCTCTCTGGTAGCGTAAGGCTCTGGCCATTCCCCTGAGGTCGAGTATTAAATGTGATGGACTAAGGGCATGATCTGATTTGGCAGGAAGCAAGACAGTAGATAAAGCAGAAGAATGATATGTTATGTGGCACAAACTGGCCCCATGGAATAGATAGACCATGGTATGACTTGATGCCATACTTGACAGATCACAATTTTCTTTAGGGTATGTCTGCATCCTCTCATTCTCGTGTGATCTTAAAACAGTGCAAGGAACTGGTGCAGTCTGAAAGTCATCATTTGTCAAAATGACTGTTTGCTTAAAACTGCTTCCTGGTTTATTCATGTGAAAGAGGGCACCTTAAAGATGCATTGAGGAGAGAAAAATGTATTGCAATGCCCCTCATCCCAGGCATTTTCATACTACCTGATAAGAGTGCGCCCACAAGATGCTTTCATGTCAAAAATCACATGCAGGAAGGATTTATAACTGTATTTACTCTTGCAGAGATGAATTTTAAGTTGCTCCCACAGTCTGGGGCATGTCCTTGTCCCATTCATACATAGCCACAGATATAATCTCTGCCACATTAAATTTTTGGGAAAGGATCATAGTTTCAGATGCATATCCATGAATAAAATGCAACATGGGAAGTGACGCTAATCTGGTATCACTGTAGATGGTGCCTATTCCCAGAATATGTACACGGCTTCATATTACCAGTGGCGATGCCTTCATGTGAAGGCATTTGGAGGTTACTCTTCATATAGACTACCCTGTCCAAGTGGAGAATCTTCATGTCAGTACTGTGTTCTTGGTAGCCTCTGTGACATGAGTGTGACGACTCTCTGCGTAATGAGTGGCTTTCAAATGTAACAGTCTCTATGTGCAGCTGCAGACGTGCTGAAGTATTTCTAGCCTATTATGTGAAGTGTGATAACTGACCCCAGCTGTTTGCAGGAGAAGACTGGCACTGGATTAAATGGGTTAGTGCTCTGTTATCCTCTTTTCCTGTTTGGCTACAAGTACTGTATTCTGCACAACTGCATTTTTGCTCTATGCCACCACCAACATTGCTTGCCCTTGAAATCAGACATTGAAGGAAAACATGACCACATGTAATAGGAACAGAACTGAGGCATGCGGCAGATTTGTTAAGTAACTTGCCTGAAGCCAGAGCAAATTCTTGGCCTCCATAACCAGCACCCTAAACCTGGACCATTTTACATACCTTCAAAGAGAAAGGTCTCATTCCAATGTGGGTTTAAATTCTTCCTTTTCACCTTTGTCTCCAGCTTATTTTTTTTATCTGGTAGGAGGTAAATTTTGACGAAAGGGTCACTTGTGCCACTGAAATCCTTGGCTGGTAGCTCTTGAGCTTTCAATATTTTGACAGTTAGTGTGGATTCCTGGAAATTGTAGCCAACGCTAAACTGGATCCGGCCCAGGTTTTCTCGGCTGGCACTGTCATGTCCCTCATCATCCTCAGACCCAGGGGAGAGCTGTAGCGCAAAAGGAAAGAGAGAGAGAGGCAGCCATGAGAGTCTGGGACAGAAGGAGGCTCGCTGTCTGCATCTGGACATTTTTAAGCACGAGAAACCCACAGGGATTTTCCAAGCCAGGTCCAGATTAAATCTAGGTAATTGGTGAGAATTTTTCATGGTTTATGTATTACCTGTAAAGGATTTATGTTCAATTACTGCTAGAGAACGTTTTCCTTTACAATCCACTTCATCTTAGCCAGTGACTCTGATGGGGAAAAAGAATCTCTGCGCCTCTTTCCCTTCAGAGAGCTCGAAGCCTTTTCAAACTGTCTGCTGTCCTCAGGTGAGAAACGGCACTTGAAAAATCATTTATCCAATGTAAGTGAGCATTTGAAGGGAAAGGGCTTTGGGAAATTACCACAGGGGGGGGGGGGGAGAGATATTGTTAGCACAAGGTCTATTTAATCACAGGCCTAACTAGAAGTGTGCCTGAGGGAGAGGAAATATGAATTCTACTGAAAACAGCAGTATATTCTGCTCCTCATTAGTGGAGGGTGCAGCCCCCCATCTTGGAAATACTTCACCCCACTGCCATCGGTCACGGCTCCAGCCTCCTTGTTATGCATCTCACCTTCCAGCTTCTACATTGTCCAGGCCTTCACGTATCCTCCCCCCCCCCCCCGCTGCTGCTGAGTCAGGAACTTGCCTGTCTCACCTTCTCTATTTATGAAGGAGGCTATAGCGCTTCCCCGTTCTCAAAGGTCCATATATTGGCAGTGTGGCTGGGAAATGCCACATCTCCATGTTTATGTGCTATGGCCTGTCATAAAAAAAACAAGCAGCTTGCAGCACCGCTGCTACAATTTCAGCTGCTGCTTGCACAGGCTGCTCCTTCCTTCATTTCTCAAGAGGCACGTGAGCTTCAGTCCTCCAGCAGCTCTTTCCCACTCAGTCCACGCTCTTGGCATTCTGTTTTATTGCTAACATTAATTAAGCTTTTCTCAATTTAATAACTTAATTGCATTTAGGCCCTCGGGTCAGTGGTTACATGGAGGCTTTATTCCCACTTTGGCCTTGCATTGGAATCTGTAACTTTCTCCCGTTCAAAATGAAAAGCTTTCTTGCAGCTCAGCATGCAAAGAGGTGGAAGGGGTTTGACAACTGCCCGATAAAGAAATGATCCAGATACAGCAAATGAAGGCACAAGACGTCAACATTCCGATTAGCCTTACAAATAGTCAATTTAAACGAACGGAAAGTCGGAAATATGATGGTGAACAAACACAGCTCTGACCTGCCTTCCTGCATATAGTCCAAATAAACAAATGTGCTGAGGCCTTCAGAAAATATGTAGGCACAATGAGTGGATCCCTTAAAATATATGCAACTTGCCTGAAAGAGCCAGGAACTGTTGCCCTCCTCTGTTTTTCCAGACTTCATTGCTGCCAATTCTTTAGCAACAAAATGCATATGCACCAACATATGGATGTTGGATATTCGCCAGCATATCCAGTGTGGAAAGACAAATAGCTGTTAAGGCATTTTCAGAGAGGAAATACTATAATACAGGAGCAATCGCAGAAAATGCCTGTTTGGGGATCACTGTCCTGTGATATTTTTCAGTATTTGGTACCATAAGTAGAATTTCCCGAGACGATCTACAGTAAGTGATCTTACAGGTCCATACAAAGGCAGGTGATCCTGAGCTTGGTCAGAGCTTTATAGTTAACAACAAAACCTTGAATGTGGCCTGGTAGGTGATTGCCAGCCAGTGCAGTTCTCTCAGCGGAGGTGTAATATGTGTGCACCTCCACTCAGCAACCTGGCTGCAGCATTTTGCACCGGTAGCAACTTCCAGATCAATCCCAAGGGAAGCAAGTATTGAGGTTTGCAACTATTTTACAGATGAGAAAATGATTTGCAGAATAAAACCAAATAGCAAGGTCACTTGCGGCAGGATTACAGTATTTATTACTCAATAGAAGACCTCTATGTGGTTAATTTGAATTCTGTACTAAGCTGAGTCCTCAATTCTGGATGCTGCAGCACATAGACTAGCTCTTATTAACAACATAGTTTCAGCCTGTATTATTAACTCACTACGACCCAATATGAGAGTTCCAGAAGTATTCATTAGTTTACCCCCCCCCCGCCCCCTTTGATGTGAACTGTTTTGGGGGACAATTTTGTCTGGAAAACAGGATAAAATAAATATAGGTAATTCCTCCCTTCAGTCTGGCTTCACAAGAGACCTGGAATCCAAAGGTCTGCAATAAGAAGTTGGAAGAGGAGAGGATTTGATTCTCAAATACTTTATGTTTGCTCAGTTTAACTAAGGGCACGCTGAAAGTTACAACATCTTCAGAAGATTGGAAGCCACAGTACACAGGGAAACTAAATGTCTGTGTTGACTCCCACAACAAGGTCAACGATTTCCAATTTTAAATCTCACCCCCTTTTGGCAGCTTGCCCTGAATCTTTTCACGTCTCTGAAAGACTTTAAGAAATCTTCAGCTACTATTGTTTTCAAAGGCTCCTGAATGAATGTGTACTATCCAAAGGCAAGCAAAAGCACGCCCCTGAAGATAGTGTAGACACTTCTATTGGTGCAGAAGTTGAGAGCATATGACACTGATTCTGCACCAACCACCAGCGCATTTCCAGGCCCAGTTCAAAGTTCCCTACATAAAAAGGCTCTTCGAGCTTCAGCAATGGCGGGAAATACTCAAAAGGGATAGACTGCTGCCTAATCAATTCAATGTTTGGAGACAATGGAGTAGGAGTAGATAGGGCAAATACACACCATCTCCCCTGGTGTTGCTGGCTGAGACTGTTGGCAAATGCAGAGGGTTGTCCTGAGAAGCCCCTCGCGGTAGGAAATAAGGAATAATTAGACTTGCCTGCAATCTGTGGCATACTATTTTGTTTTAGTGTTTCAAGGAGGAACAGCTTCCCTCCATTTCAATGGGAGGAAGAAAAATGAAAGATAGCAAAAGCTAAAAATCCACCTAACAGTTACCTCTTTCAAACCACATTTCACCAGCTTCCACATGAGAATATCATGGGGGACTTTGTCAAAAGTCTTACTGAAATCAAGATACACTATGTCCACAGCATTTCCCTGATCCACCAAGTTTGTAATTCCATCAAAAAAAGAAATCAGATTGGTCTGGCATGACTTATTTTTGAGAAACCCATGCTGGGTCTTGGTAATCACAGCATCCTTTTCCTAAATGCTCACAGACTGACTGTTGAATTAGATGTTCCAGGAATGCTTTCCCATCTACAGTGCCATTATAGGTTTGAAAGAACTTCACACTATCAACAGCAACGCTGCTGTAAATCAATAGTAGCACTCCAGAGGAGTTAAGTCAGCTTCTTGAGAAAAACTGCAAGCTCTGTAGGTTCCAAAAATGGCGGAGCCTGTGAACAAACATTACATCAATATTGACTGAAGAAACCATTGATATGAAGCATATAGTAGCAAAAGTGGCCAGGAGCTCAGGTCCAAAATATATCTCACAGATGTAATGTGATGGTTTTTTTCAATTAAAGTGATGCAACACCACCACATATTTCTCCACTTCACATTCCACTTCATTAGCTGCCACTTATGGGGAAGGGGGTGGGAAGTACAGACCTGTAATGTCACATGCATTCTCCCCAATATACATGACAGGGGTGCCTATCACCCTTCTTCCTGCAACGTGTACTTTGGGCTGAAGAGAGGGAAAGAAGCTGAGGAGATGCCTGATTATCTAGCTCTATTAGATTTCCTCAAGGACATACCCATGGTCTGAAGTAAGGAGAAAATACATATATAGTTAGCAGTGACAACCCCTCTTAGGCTTGCACATTTCACACCTTTCCTAAAGCAGAAGCCCTTTTTAAATTAACCTTTCAAAATGGTCTCAGCCAGAGGTCAAATGGGACAATCGCTTGCTACACTGCGGAAGACCTCAGATCTGAAGGCGTTTTGGGACCATTCTCCTGTTGGTGTCCCGTTATTCCATGTACTTTGCCCTATCAGGTCTCTAGGCTCCTCAGGTGATTATTTTGTCTTCTCTCCAGAGAACATGTCATGATAGTATAGCAGGAAGCTGAATCCTTTACACATTTTAAGGGAATAAATAGTCTCTCTTGGATTTCTTGCCCAGGGCTTGGTGCATTCCAGGGAGCTGTCAGGAAGGATTAAGCTTCCTCCTATCCCTGATATCTCTCAAATGGCTCCTGGCTCTGATCCACGTGCTTGCTTCAGCAGGATTGGGGAGGGCCAATTTGATAAATCCTTCCTGACAGCCTGCCTGTCACGTTACAGAAGCCACTTCCTCCAGAGCCAGGATGACAGTATGGATTGCCTCTCACCCAGCGCAGCAGTTCTTGGGACCCTGGGATCTCTGTATCTCCTGTGGATGAGCGTGGGTGGAAATGAGGCCACAAGAGCAAAGTTAGGGGGACTCAGTTTTAGACAAGAGGGAAGTAGGAATGATGGGTGTCCATTAGATTCCTGGAAGGGTTGCTGATTACTCAGGAGGCAAAAGATCTTCTCCCAGAGTCTTAATCATCAAAACGGAGATTCATGGATCACAAGGAACAAAGACTCCTGGATCCACTTTCTTATTAGATACTCAGATGCATCAGCTTCAATCTAGAGGGACAGTGGGGTGGGGGGACGGGTACAGAGAGCCACCCCCTTCAGAAAACCTGCTTAACTCATTTTCTAACCTTATCTTCCAGCCTCTTTTTGAGATGCTGAATAGTTATTAAACCATGACCTGCACTTTTAGAGAGACTTTACATGGACAGTCTACTCAACAATCCTTTCAAGAGGCAAAACAAATATCAGAAACAGTTCACATGGTACAGATCAGAGTGTGCAAATTTATCATCTGATGTGACAGGGATAAATCATGCATGTAAATTGCGCAGAAGACAGGAAATGGACTATAAATGCTATAAAAAAATAAGGCATTAAGAAGTGGAAGAAATGGAGGGAGCATCAAAGATGCTCCTTGCCT